CAAATTTTGACACATGAAATATTTTCTACAGTAAATAATAGGATTACCGGAATTATCCTAATGTACAGCAGTCTGAGCGGTGCATGCATGAGGCTCTTCTAGAAGCTCAATTAAGACCTGAAGCTCTCACCCAAGAGGCTCCTTGTCAGTTTCAGTGCTCTAAAATTTTCTTGTTGAAAAAATTCACAGATGGGTCAACCAGCAAAAATGAAACACCTTGAAAAATTTTCATGCCAATTATTTTAACTTGAAAATTTCCCAATCTACGGTATTTTGTTATTGTATAGGATGTACTAGTGATAACGATTGGCCTTTGAGTGTAATACCTTTGGACCAGTATCAAAATCAACTAAGAATAAGGATACTGAGTGATTGGGAGAATTTAGGAACAGAAAAACAGCTTCAAATATTTCAAGATCGTCTGCAATTACAAAAGGAGAGAGAATTCTATCAGGAACAGCTTCAAAGAGAAATAAAAGAGAAGGAGCAGATACAGCAAGATCGAGACAAAGAGCAGCAGCAGCTTCTTCAAGAAAAGGCAACACTTACTCAGCAACTTGATGATGCTACGACTATCTTTCAGCAAACAGAAAAAGATGAATCAAATCTTGAATTAGGTACAATTGCATGCGTTGTACTGTTGCTTATGTATACATTAATACTAGTGGATTACACAATGTTGAGTAAGGAAATAGTATCCTCTACTCAATATAGGTAAAATTGTTCATTCAATACAAATATTGAGATTTATGTATAGTGAGCTGTGACCTCTGCTTACCATGTATGATAATGATTAGCAATAATCATAGTACATGTATTAATGGCCTAATATACATGCATTGCAAATTTTTTAAGTGATGAATATCATTCTGTTTTTTATATTTGTATTCTAATTGATAATAGAAGGCTATGAGAAGCTTAAAGCTAAAGTTGCTGATAATGAAGTATATATAACTGAAATATTGGAAAAGAAGACAGAAGTAGAGGGGAAGAAACAGATTATTACTGGTTAGTGTATCATCAGTACATAATATTAGATATTCTATTGTTGTAGAAGATTATGAGAAACTTAAAAGCAAAGTAGCTGATATGGAAGATCAATATCTCAAGGAAAAACAGATCATTATTGGTTAGTTAACTACACACACAGTGTGTATTAGATGAGAGAAATGTTTATTATGTAGACGATAATCAAAATCTGAAAACTGAAATTTCTGAGAAAGACAAAGTTATAATAAAACTGACATCACAAGTGGAGAAACAATCACAGAATGAGAAACAGATCCTGAATGGTTAGTGTATCATCATCAATCAATAATAATTATTAATATTCTATTAATTTATAGACCTTAAAGAAAAGGAGTTGTA